CGGGGGGGGGGGGGGGGGAGGCAAGTTATATAATAATAGTGATTCTCTCAATTTAATCAAAACTGCACAGCTTATCTCGATTATATCAATATGTTACTCGTTGTGTAATAATAAGATGATAATATAAATAATAAAATTTAATTGAGTTATTAACAAGAATAATTGCTCGAATATTAAACCAAAAAAGATAATTGCAATATTATTAATTAAAATATATTTTTATGATATGACTGAAAAAATTTTAATCAGGTATCTAAACTATATTAATTTTGCAGTGGTAAAATTGAATTCCGATAATAAAATATACTAGGTCTGAATAATTTATTACGAAATTTATCAAATAAAGAAAAAAAAAAGGTAAAAGTATAAAAATTTTAGATGAGATATTTACTTTTAGCTCATATTTATAAATAATGAAACGGAATAATATTATTTTAGTTGATAAGAATGTGTGTTTGAAGATATTTTTGCATATCTTTATCAATGTTCGTAAAAAAAAAAAAAAAAAAAAACTGACGCCCTTGTATACTGAAACGTATTGTTAAGAGAGATCTTATAAATTCAATTTGCAGAATTAAGAGATATATAATATTATAATAAGACAAATAATTTAAAAATTAAATTTAAACTAATTTTAATTAAACGCGTTTGACCTCTCTTGCCTCTTCGGCGACGCTTAATATAAATTTTGATAATTTAATTCCCCCTATTAATATTGGATGCCTATTGATATTAGATTTCAAGGTGATGTTTCATGTTTACTCAATATTTTCTCACCCTAGATGATGCACCTTGGGTAGTGCCTTGAAAATGCCTTGCGGAAGACGAGAAGCCTCGACGCGACCTCGAAGTTGGACCGCCAGCATGAAATACCACCGTCGACCTTGCATCTCTGTCATTGTTATTGTTGTAAGTTGAGCCTCGAACTATCGCGCTAGACGCCGTTCTCTCAACTGTAATTCATAATGTTTACAACCTTTGATCTTGATATGAATTCGGTCTTAAGACTATTTAAAAAGGGCATTTTATACACGTATATATATATAACTTATTTGATTTTAAAATATTCGGCAAGTTACACATTTCTAATTCGCGCTCAAATATATCGGCAAAACAAAATGAATTCCGAATTTTTTATTCAATAACTGTATTAATTTTTATTCAATAACTTATATAAATTATGTATCACAGTAATCGTGATATCTCATTAACTGTAAATGCACTATCATGCAATTTTGTTGATGTATGTTACGTAAATTTTTTTATCGAATAAATTTTAATGTCAGCGAAGATACAATTGATGTATGAGCCAGCTTTCTGTGACATTCGCGACACGAGAATATGGGTGCACGTGCGTGCGTTTGACATATCAAAGCGGCACTTTACTTACGTCTTCTAGTGCATGTCGATGACTGTCGTATCTCGAGCTTCAGACCACGCCAAAGTTTTATCGCTATCAGCGAATACGCCAGACTCATGAGCAATAGCGGTATCAGAAGCAGCGTGCCATCCAGGAAAAGATTGTACGCTCTCTCGGTACCGACATTCGGCCAGTCTTCGCGACATTTGCGTCTTCCTGAAATTGTCATACAATGTGAGAGAGATTTTCAACCGTTTAGCCGTAGTAAAACCGTTTAGATAGAGTGACATAATCGAGGATTCGTATCGCCGCTACGTTTCCCAGTGGAAAACGACCGCGTGGTTGAAACAGAGGCAATCTAATTCCTCATTTGTCCACACGGAGATCCTAAACGTAGCCGTTAATTAAACTCGTCGATTAAAATTAGATATCTGTTTTTTTCTTCATAAATTGTTTCATTAATAAATAGAATCAATTTTAACATTATACTACGTATGTATATAAAAAATATATTATATATTAATAATTTTATAATAATTAATAATATTATATTAATTTTTAAAATTATTAGAATAATTATATTTTACACTATATATAACAGATTTTGTATCCCTAAATTCAAGACAATAATTAATATTCTAGAAATCTACTTCATTTGCTAATAAAACCATTTATAAAATTATAAAGGAGTATAGGGAGTATAAAGAAATAGTCGGTAATGATGTTACGATGCAATTAACTTTATCTCGATGCAGCTCTTTAGTAAGTAATATACGGTATCGATAATATTAATATTGCTCTGCACACGATTGATTTTCAATATCTTAAGAAGCGAAACCTGTTCGAGCACAATTAGTGCTGAAGGAATTATATAATATAATAATGGCCAAATTGCTTTTATGTATACTGACAATGAGTTACAGATCGTCATATATACATATTCTACTACATACATCTTACTTTATATATATATTATATGTATAAGTGCCGATAATATCAGACAAGCGCAACCAATTACTAATTAATATTTCAAAACAACATTCTATATAATATATAATATAAATTTTACGTAACAAATGGATCACAAGTCACGACTAATATTAAACAAATGCAATCAATCAGTATATAAAATATAAGAATTATTTGATACTAATTAAAAGTTATTTATTATTTGTCGCATTTCAAGTTCTATTAAATTTCATTGATTAAGAGCACTTCTTTCATTATAATTAAAAACCTCCCACGTAACAAAGTTTCATCCACACAAGCACAACAGCCTTCAGCACAAAGGGTTTAATTTCTTCTGTAGATGTTCAATATTGCAGAGTATTCAATATGTCTCAGTTGTTGGATATTATGTATATGCATAAGCTAGCTGCAACGAGTGAAATTCTCGGAGGAAGACAAGGGTGGATGTCGATATTGGGTCGAGATGAAAATGTCAATACGACGTAAAAAATTTGGTTCTAGTCCGGTGAACAACATACAACATTTTTTAACAAATATTTCAAATGTCACATTACATAGTATTCAGTGAAATTTTAATGTTTGCGAATTATTTTAAGCGCTTTCGCAAATTTATTCGCAAAATATTATTCGTTTTTATTATTTATTTTTATTATTTATTTGTCAGTCGCGTTTGTTATTTACTTAAATAAGATACAATGCCCATAATATATATCAGCATTCTCTTACCTCCACGTAAGCTCTTTAATCGAGACACGACGAGAATCGGCGCGTTCCACGTGAGGCTGAGAGTCCACACGACAGCAATCATTTTGTAAGCGTGAAATTGTGTCTGCCATCGTCTTGATTTCAATGGTCGGCAAATAGCGAAGTAGCGTTCTAGCGAAATAGCGACCAACGTCCAGACACCCACCGACACTGACACGGCTGAAGAAAGCATATCATTATATTTAATCAAACCATTTCGCTTGTCATCGTGCAGGCTTATTGTATCTGCATTTATACAAATATAATTTTTTATCTGATTTGATATCGACGTTTCTGATTAATTCCGTAGTCTGTCTATGGAACGGTGAAAAACTGATACGATATTGTGTAACGTAACATAACGACAATCGATCCTTTTGTCTTTAAAATTTAATCTTTGATTTATATTGTTCCGTTTGAAATTAAATAAATCAATAGATTTAATTATCCCGAAATATAAAAGAAAGGAAGAAGTATGTTTATTTTTTATTTTCTGGAACAACGTGAAAATACGTTCGATTGTTAGCAAGAAGTATCAATTGCACGTTGTCGGCGACAGAAAACAATTTAACATTCAATAATAGAAAGTTGAAGAGTTAAGGTTAATAATCTAGAACAGCTATGTACATCGCAAGAAATGAACGAATGTACGTGACATGCAGCTTTTCAGAGGATCGCTTTTATACTCCAGAATTCGCTTTCTTTTCATTGTTATCCGTCGATACGAAAACCACTGGTAGAGAGAAGTTTCTACTTAAAAGCATCACTAAACAATTTTCACGACTTACAACTTAGAGTACACATTGGATGGAGGAAGACAGAATTTTACGAGGAAGTTCTCTTTGTCGTTATCCTCGAAACCAATTACGAAATTTTTTCATGAACATGGCTTATTTACGTGGTGTTTCATGTCAAGGCTATTAACAGGAAATTCTCATTAGGATTAAATTTTATCGAGAATTTTATCGAATAACCTTGATTGGAAAATTTTTATTCATTTATCGCAATTTAGTTTAGTTACGATGCAAAAATAATATTATTGTGTATAAGTAAAAAAAATGCAATTGTAATTTTCTCTTTTTTTAAAAAGATTCTTTGTCAAGCTGAATAGAGAGAGACAACCTCCTCATTTTTTTAATATATATATAATAATATTGTAAATTAAAATTTTAATTTCGGTTGAAATTAATCAAAAAATATTATTTTGTCATTCATTTCATATTCTTCAAAGTTTACAAAAGATCTTTTTCTTTTCCAATATTGTTTAAAACTCGAGAATTACTGATGTCTCTTGACATTTTTCCTGAGATAAAGTTAATTCCAAACTAATTAAAAAGTTTATTGTTGAGGGATAATGTGCGTGAGAAGTAGAACATTTGTTTATCTTTATAGATACGATTTATCGCGTTACAGTTATTTTTAATTTCATTTAAAAACGCATTGGAATATCGAATTACAAGTACAAATCACCTCGTTTAGCATAGATTTCCGATCGACACAGCTAATATAATTAAAATACATATGCTATTAATTTAATATATGGATTATAAACAAGATTACCTCTCCTAATTTGTACTTCAATTATGGTAACGTATACATATGTATAATTTTAAATATAAGTTTAAAAATGTACAAGTGTTACTGCTTTTTAGAGACCCAGAATTTCCTATATTAACAATAATATTTTTGCACTGTGAAAAAAAAAATATTCGCGATAGCAAGTAAAATTAAATAAATTACAAAATTTAAATAAATAGAGCCATAAGGATACTATTAATACCGTTATTTTAATTACAGCAAAAAGTTAATTATGCATTTTGAAAAGGCGAACAATAGAAATTTATGCTAATTTGCAAAACAAGGGCAGTCAGAGTTAACGGAATTAATGGTTGAAAGCGACTCGTGGCACTTGTTCGCATATATTACATTACATATAAATTGCTCTTGTAAAAAAAGTTCTTTTACAGTTTATATATATTATTAGATACTATAATAACATTATATGTAATATGTATCAGCATATTTAAGAAAATCTTAATAGAGTAAATTAACTCGATAATTCAAGCATTTAAAATATGAAGAATCTAAAAGTACAAATCCTCGGTTGTTGAGATTAATCGTTTTTTAATGACTTCATATATCGCTTATTTATATTTTAATTAAAGTCAAAATTTTGTATTACACGATTAGATGAGAGATTAGATTACATCAATTAGATTATATAATAATTAATGGTTATATGCTTATGTATTTTAGAGGTATATACCTCTCACAAATTTCCGGATGGAGTCACTAGTTCCGTTGATGCATCTTCGTCATTTTCGCGTCTTTATTGATATAAACTACGAGGAAACACGCTGTAGAGAAGCACGGAGATAACGGAGAACGTACCATCTAGTAAAATTGAGAAGGACGCTGGCCTTTTGCGAACGTCGCTCTAAAGCACCAATATTATCCGATAAATTTACGTTGCTTCTCTTGGATATATTTCAATGGTAAGCTTTTGCATATGACAAAATAAATAATGAAATGCATCTATCCATCCTACAACTTGTGACCTTTCTGACGATGGTTGTTTATTCACGGTCTGTCCCTCAGTTTTAAAACCGCAAAGAGAAAGCACGGCGCAGCAAAGTTTTATTTTAAATTGCAATTTTTTTTTCGTTCGAGTAACGTCGCTGATATAGTGCGCGTGTATTATTATTTTTATCGCGACGTGGAACAATGCTATTAGGAAAAAGGGAGAAATAATAATTTTATGAGCGGATGGTACTTGTTACATATTTCTGTAAAATGTTACAATTAATTACGATAAGAGTAACATAAATCTAAAACATGCGTTTACTTGTTTCAGTCAAGTCAAAATTTGCATAAAGAGCTTTGGATCTCGTGTTACGAAACGTTTATAAATCCGCGTTATTAACGTGCGAATTAATATGGCATGGCACGGAACTCGCTCATTAAGCAAAAATGATATAACGTACATCATGAAAATCCTTCACTAGCGAAATTTCGTTATATTATACCTCGATACGTTATACTTCTTCGTTCGTAAAAAAAAGCCGCTGTTCTATTCGTTTTATGAGAATAAGACGCGGGGCGAATTTGTGTCGTCGCGAAACAGGGCCGGTATAATCCGCGACAATGGAAGAAAAAAACGATTATATCCCACTCTTTTGCCGCGACAATAAAAGTGTCTCGAGAAAAAAAAAGGACGATATCTACGACGAAAAATGTACTGCGTTCGCGCGCGATTTCAATTTCAAAACAGGTTACGAAAAGAAGATTATATTCTATGGATGTACATACTTATATGAGTCCTCGAAAATCCCTCATACGCTTTTGTGAATAATCCATCGAAAAAAAAAATATATAAATATACACGTAACAAAAAATTCCTTAATGAATCGACGGTATATCTTTATTTCCTTGATTTCCTTCATCCTTTTTATCTATTTGATACGTTTGTATCGCGAGTTATTGTTATGCGTTTAAAAAGTTTACGTCCAGTTTTATATTGTGCAATCGCATGCTGTTGTACAATCGTGTGTATCGCGTAATTTAAAAATCCAATCTACAATGAAGATCAAGAGCAGAATATATGATAAGCAAACAGTATAAAACATTAGCGAGATTTACCAAAAATGATAATAAATATTTTATCACACTACGTTGTTATATATATATATATATTTTTTTTTTTTTAAATAAACATGTTATTTTATATTACCTGTATATACATATACATATTTTCATTCTTTTTTCCTTCCTATCAAATCATAAGTATGAGACGAACTTGATAGCGCGTCACGTATACATCTAAAGAAATATCGAAGTATCCCCGAGATACTCAGAAGTATAATACAAGTCTGTACTGAAGTAGGCGGGACCATTTTCCTTTATCGGCGGACATTCGAGATGCGATTTTCACGAGAACGATCATCAGTGGCGCATTTAAATTCCGCAGATGCGACGAGACCATTATGATACACGACAAATATGCATATCTATCGGAATTTTCCCTTTTAGGATATCTCTCTACGATCGGAATTCGACTTTAAACATCGGCGCTTATTATATGCAGCGTAATTTTGCAACTGCATATCTATTGCCAGCGTCTATAATACGCAGAGATAATGTAGAAAAATTTAATAATCGCGCGGTACTTTAATATAAATTATTATATACATAAAAATGTATAAATTAAATACATAAATTTCATATATGTATATATATATATTTTTTATATATAATAAAATTTCTCTTTCTTTCTCTGTCACGTTTTCTCTCAAAAATTAAATATATATATGTATTTATGATTATTTTTATTTGCCACAATGTCTAGCAACCCGGAAAATTAGCATTACATTATAGTGGTTACCCGAGTACACATCGTGCAATAGCAATTTGCTGCTCACTCAGCAAATATATCACGTGTGACAGCTACAAGCTCTTTGAGTATTGCGTTGGTCGTAGATCGATCGTTACATTGGAGATCTATCTAATGGTAAAGTCATCTATTTATTATTATAAAATGCTAAGAAAACTTAAATTATATTAATATACAGCGCGCAGAACGCACGTTATTTCAATCCTTTTATTATTTTATTTATTAATGATTATTATCATTATTATCATTATTATCATTATTTCTTTATATGTGTATGTCTTTTATATATAAGTAACATTTTCCAAATAATTTTTATGTAAAGATTGAGACGTATCTCTCTCTCTCTCTCTTTCTCTCTCTCCCTCTTTCTTTCAGCAACATTTTCCTTACTTCTCAAATCTTCTTTAAATTATCGTCTACTTAACTTCTCTAATAGATTTTGTTTTATTTTTGACTGTTTGTTATCAGTTATACCGGTTTTATTCACATAGCACCTTAATTTTTTTTAAACGCCATTTCTAATACATTTTTGTTCGAATAATTTTTAATATCCCATCAACGGCAAAAGCAATACGCTGCGAGCAAATTTAATCATCGCACATTAAAAAAACGGTTGCTTAAGAAAATCTTTGCGATGACAGCTTTCAACATATTGAAAACAATTTTCCATTTTTTTTTAATAATCAATTTTATAGCTTTTTGAAGCGTGAATATTAAAAAGACATTTCAAGCGCATAAGAAAAAAATTCAACATAAATAATCAATATATTTCTATTCTATAATTGTATCTCAAATTGTATCGTAATATTATTCAAAAATGCTATTATATCATGTCGACAAAAATACACCGACTGCTTTTAAGAATATTTTCTTAATAGTGCATCTTTCCCTCCTGCCTCGCCATTACCGTCACATTTGCTTAGTGCCATCCTCTTTTGCATTCGATATGAGACTTTAAAATTGCATGTAATAGCTGCAATTTCCGTAAGAGCTTTGAATACTAAACACACAACTAACTTGTCGAAGTAGATGCATCTATATTGTTACATTTTCGGGAAAAATTTCGATATCAATAAAGATTTATGTTTCTAAGAACGTCGAAAGATGATAAATTTTTACGATACATATCTACAGTCAAAAGGACAACTGTACATCGAATATTGGATACTATAAGAATCTTTTATACTATACATAACACGGTTTTTTTATGTATATAGAAATTATTTAAAAATTGTAATGCGTAAAAAAAAATTAAATATTAAAAAAATAAAATTCTTTGCTGTATTATCTATAAAACCATAGTCTTTTGTTGCATTTTTTATTGCGAAAATGCCGATCTTTTTAGAAGATAAAAGAATACATTTTTTAATCTATTTAAAAATGGATAAAATGTCTGAAACCATGTTGAATCGTTAAACGTATTTCATTACGAATGAATCCGTTACAAAGTGATGTATTGTGCTGATCATCAGAATAACTGCACTTCGTAATTAAATTTCGATTCTGTAATAAAACTTTTAAGGATGTAAAAAATTACTAGCGTACAATTTTAATTTGCACTCAATGTCACTATCTCTGTCTTTCTCTAATCAAAGTTTATGAAAAGAGAAGATGCAATAAATGACAGAAACAAATCTTCTTCGTTTGTACAGTCACTTTCGCAAATTAAACTAAAACTAAACCAATTGTTGAAAATGAGTTAGCCACAGAAAGCTAGTCTGAACCCAAGTTGAGACATACAGAAGTATCTGTTATATGCAATATTCATCCACTGACAACAAAGTGCCGTTTACTCCATCAATATTGCCCAATTAAGACCAACTCGAATGTAAAATAATCACTTCATGGGTTAATTTATATGTACGAGTATAAAAATAAATGTAGATTAAGCGATAATGCATTCGTCTTATTATCTTTATTTCAATATAACTGACTTCAATATAAAAAAAAAAACCTTATCTTGGAAATAATTAAACTTTTAAAGACTCCACGCGACGACTGAAGAATTAATATCTCTGCAAAGACACTTCTGCATGTATGATCCTATATGCGAAGAAAAATTTATTACACAAAGAACGTAATTGCATTTTTTTTAGAAAAGATGATAAAGTAAAAACTATTATTCCCGTCTAACGCATCTCCAAAGAAAAATATTACTTTACTGCACTCAGTGCTTTTATGAAAGAGTGCTTCTATCTGTACTAAATCATGGGATACTTATGCTAATATTTGTGTATAATAAAATTATAAATTTATACATTAAGATTAATTCAACCTTGCTTTTAATAAGAATAAAATTTCAAGAAATAATTTACACAAAAAATATAATTAATAATATAAAACAGCCATGCACGCGAATATATTAAATCCGTTTAATCAGAAAAATTTTTGATGATTTTTGTCAATAATATAATTAATAAATTGTCGGAAAAAAGGCTTATTGATGTGTTTATCTAATTTTTTTACAACAACATTCATCAACGAATCTCTCAGTTGTTTACAAATTTTTGCTTGTTTAATCACTTGAAAGAGCTAAATACTGGATAATGCGTCTTGGCAATTGCTTGATGAATTTTTTATACATAGAATACATTTCAGAAAAATAATTAAGTGCTTATGAAGTACTTAGCGGATTAATCATTTAATATTTCTCAGTGTGGATTAAATTAGCAAAAGAGCGATTTAATATTCCTTAGTAGAAATCTTTGCCTTACACTTTAATAAGTTGCCGAGAGGAAACGACCGTCAACTTAAGACAATTACTTTCATTAATTTAGTAACCCCTTGTTTAATAAAATTTCCGCCTGTATATTGGCAAATATTTTAGTAAATAAAAGTGACTTTTGAGATTTCCAAGATGCCGCATATTCTCGCTCTGGGATTTTTGAAAATCTCTCCGATCTTTATTATTATAATGTAGAACGGTGAGGCAAAGAGATTGGACACGTCTATTTCCAATAATATCGAATTCTTATATCACCGAACACGGTGAATCCACACTTACCTTGAAAATACGGTATGAGCTTGCACATTGTGAGACCAAAAACAAAATTCTTGAGAATCTGACCCAGAAGAGTAAAAGGCATACAAAATACACCAAGCAGAAGATCCGATACAGCCTGCAACAGAGATCAGCAGTAATTTTGTTAATTACATTTCTAACTTAAAAAAACACAAAAAATATATTGACAATAAAAAACGTAAAGGGAAAATAAATGGTTGTACGATTGCAAGATTAAACGATTAGAGAGCACAACCAATGTTTTTTATCCGAAGATTTATTTTGTCAGATTTTATTTGTGTGTGTGAAATGAAGCAAGAAGACTCACCGCACGAAACATTTAAACTTGAACTAAAGCAGAAATAAATAATTTTATCGTTTCTATATTGCTCGCGCAAACTCTCAGTTTCTAAGATTCCTACAAATAAAATTCGAAATACTAGGTCAATCGATCATCGGCAAACAACAATGGTTCTCAATTATACGGGGTGTAAACTGGGCTTAAGAAAATATTTAATTTTACTCAATCAGATTTCACGATGTTGTTTTTTATATATTATTTGTTTCTAGAAAATAAAGTCTACTTACAATCAGAATAATTTTTATTTTCTGAGAAAAACATTTTCTATCTCGTAAAAAGAAAGTCACTACTCTTAATGAAACTGAAGTTGTGTGGTCTTAGAAAACAGGATTCTTATTTTTCTTTTATTCAATATCCATTGGAATAGTTTTAACGATGAAAGTCTTCGCTTGATTGCTGCATTTTTGATACAGCTTTTAAAAAAGCTTAAGGTAAACGATCAAAAATAAAGTTGTAGTCAATAAGAAAACATAAATAAGAAAACAAGCTGGAAGCTATTACCGATTTACAAGCGTACTGTATTGAACCTAGGTTATTACATCCATGATTTTATTAAAATACACTGCAAAAAAGAAAGAATTAAAATTTACATTTTCATAAAAATGTATTCATAATTAATCCGGGAAAAAATGATAGCCAGTCTCAAGAAAAAATAATTACTTAAATATTATGGACAATAATAGTAAATTTACAATTTTTGATCCAATATTTCCTTATTAATTAATGTAACAATGTTATTTCTTAAAAGAATACAAAACAATGTATTATATGTATATATAAAAATTTTAAAAGCTATTCAAATATATATAAACTGTACGGTCATTTTGCTTTGCACAGTACATTAATAAATTAGGATAGCGTAAAAGAAGGCTATAAAAAATATATAAACCTTAATTCTACATAAAAATGGTGAGAATATATCTTATTATCCTATAATATTTATCACATCCGAATAATATATCATCTCTTGCGTTCACTTATTTCCACTACGCGCACATTTTATACTAATGGCTTTGTCCAACTTTTATTCCCCAGTTCTGCATTTTGGCCGTTTTGTAAAGCGGAAAGTTAAAAAGTCATAGTTTTAATAGTCTTGTTCCCAAGTAGCCAAAATTATATATAAAATATTTAAATGAGACGATTATGAATGCTTCGTTAGAAAAAAATTTGATAAATCCTTGTATAAATCTCAACCATTGTGATATTGTATTAAAATGTGATGTACTGCGTTTAATTTCAATTTTAATTTCAATAGATCATATATTAAAAAGCAAACTTAACAAGAAAGAAACGCCAAATTAATTCAGTTAGTATAAGTCAGCGTACAATTATAATTCCATACACGCAAATATGTTGCAAGATTAGAGATTTTCAAGTTGTCGCCAACTTTCATGAAAATTGTACATTTAACTTTATGTTTAAAAAGAATTTTCTCTCTATGCTTTTTATACTATTTGAAAACGTTATGCAATTAGTGACGGAAACATGATATATCATTCTGATTGTATTACAAAATATTTATGTAGCAAAATTAAATTATATAAATAGTAGAAATAACAAATTTTAAACTGCAAGTAATCGCAAATCTGAATAAAAGGTTTTGTTCTGGTTATCGCATTTCCGTTAAATAGCAAGCTATTTTCAATGCGTTGCAACTCTTTCATGTGTTATGCGTAAAACTGGAAGTTCTGTACCTCGAGATATCGGTAAAAGTTTTGCCTCTATTTGAAGAATTGTTATACGAGATGTATACAACATTCAACACTTTGATTCTTCCTTCTTAATCAGCTTTATATTTTGACCATACATTTTTATATATACATATACATAGCAATCAGTATTTTTTGAATATAAAATATCAATTAAAATTTGAATATGAACTGTCAGTATAAAATATAAATTTACATTTCAAAAATTTGTTATGAATAATATTGAAATGTTTAAATATTTTATTACATGTATAAATATTTTATTTATGTACGTGTATATTATTTTAATATTATTGCGTGCGTATTTACTAAATAATACATAAATATACTAAATTTTAATATAATGTGGTTTATAAATTTGTCACAAAATATAAGTGACTCTAATTAAAATTATATATTTAAAGAGAGAAAATAAAGTTTTATTCTCCCCGCTTTGGCATTTCTGATCGAATGAGTCGCTATCCTAATATGAATAAAATGTGAAAGCATCGAGCGTGTGAACATTAGCGTTTTGCAATTACACTACATATCCGTTTTTCTCGCTCGTAAAAAACTTTCGTATGTATTTTGTTACGAGCAAAATTTCCTGATTAAAATGCTGCACTATTTAAAAAGGTGTTTATTCAATTCCCGTTGCGATAAAAATTACTATAACAGAAATTAATGTTATTCAATTTATTAACGAATTTTTAACGAAACGGAGCGTTGACTTAACTGCGAGAGTGAGACATTTATCAAATATTTTTAACGACTTAAAGCTTAATTGCTCTAATTAGTAGTGATAATTAATCGTTTAAATTTCCCAACACTGTGCACCGCGGGAAAATAATAATTTAACTGAAACTTATGTCAAACAGTTTGACAAGCGCAAACAAGCAATAATTCCGATTTTTACGATATAGAAAACTTTTTCAGTCGGTAATTATTAGAGCAGAGAAACACGTGTATAAATTAAACACCTAAAATTTGTTGTAAATTTGTTGTACCTAAAATTTGTTAGTAAATCAGAATGCATGGAACACACGTAGGATTATTCTAATATACATGTATCGACGAGACACCCAGGTTGCAACTATAAAGAATGTTTCAAGCGCTTAACTACTTTCCGCACAGAACTCTGTTCAAGGATCAATGTATTTCTTAAGTATACAACGCTTCTTCAAAAGATAAAGTCTTACATTTCGATTAAAGTCATCAGCAAGATGTATATAATTCAACGCTGTGAGAAGAATACGTAGCTTTCTATTATTATTGCACATATGTATGTCAGAAATCTTTTTTTTTTTTATTTATCTAGATCTAGCGTTAGTTATCTTTTAATTTCCACTCGTTCGTTGCGTTCGTTTCGATAAACGCGATATAGGGAAAAAAACGTTACAGACACTTGTCATCTCTGACAGTTACTTGTTAACTGATCTGTGTATATGTAACAGTTGTCCCTTTCAATTACCGACCTTCTGTCAGAGACAGACTTGAACTTTTTATTTTATCGATAACGGCAAAACCAATGTTGCGTTAGTGAAGCGAGATAAACGTTAAATTGAATCACGTACTAGAGATTCTGATTTAAGTTTAACGTAAAATATCATAGAGTCGAGCAAGAGAGAGATCAGCCTTCGCCAACTTTCGAAAATAGGTGAGCTATCACATCTTATCAACTTTTATTAAACACGACATTTTAAAATCTTTAAAGCCCGATCCAATTTCAATCTTATTTAAAATATCGCACACGTAATATAGCTTAGGATATTAATTAAATATTTAAATTGTTAATCTAATATATATAATAGAATAAAAATACAACAGATTATAAAACTGCTGCAGAGTAAACGACGTTTAATAATAGGAACGATACGATGATATATGAATAGTCACTGTAGTCAACAAATTGTCATAGCTATAAAAATCATGTTATAAAAATGGTTTTTGTATATTGACTTAGCGGTTACAGGTATATTGCACAAATAGAAAAGCCGAATATAAATGATGCCGAGTTATAACGTAGCATCGATCATTTTTGATTGATAGGAACGCCGGCGTAGCATTTAAGCAATCTCAACTTTGACATTTTACCATCTGTAACGCATGGTAGAAAAACTTATTTCACTCGTTGTTATTGTAAAAATCAATTTACGCATATATTTACAATATATTTTTTCATCAAATTTATATAACAAAATAACGCGAAAAAATTGTATACAAAAATTATATAAATGCATACATAAATATCCCAATTTAGAAGAATAAAGTACATGAAGAATTATTAAAAGTATAATGTTAGACGCATTTCAATCTTGTTATGTGTGCGTGGGGGTGTGAGCGCTTCTTCACCTTTCAAATTTTCACAAATCCGTGCAGAATTATGATGTCAGCTCTGATAAATTTACCGTACACATCCAGATATTACCATTTTTCTCCCGTGATGTCAAGCACACGTTTACGCGTAAATAAAATCAATATTATAGACTCAGTCACTATATTTTTTATTTATGATGATTTGGCATGTACTCTCGGAATTCGAGAAGTCTGCTGTTTGGTGATACATGTGATGGAGGACAAAGGGCACATTGCGATGACGAATTCCGAATAGATAATGATCCATGCGACTCGAAAAAGCGCGAGTTTTTTGGCGTTTTAAGCTACATGTGTGAAAACGCCATTATAATTTTTTTTTTACGTATAACTCTTTTGCCAGTAAAATGCAAACGCACAAAACTAAAATAAGATGAAAAAAGCATTTTTACTATAGATGAATCAATATGTTGTGCAATGCTTATACAGATACTCAAGTATCACAATTTTTTTCATATACGATACAATATCGTACCGATATCAAAAATACAATCGAATGCAGGGAAATGGATTTTCCATGTACATCATCTATTATACGCGTTGCAACTATACCAAAATATTTTGTATAACAGATAATAATCGCTGATTCACCGATACATAATAAATCATATCAAGCAATCTATATAGAATGTTCTCTCTATTTTGGGTAATAATGTAATTAAACGAGATCATTCTACTTGCGAAGATATTACTTGGCGAATTGATATCAATATGGTAATCTATGCTGTTCAGAAGAGCGCAGTAAATTCACAACAGATTATATTTGTTGATTGTCTGCACTTCCGCTTCCGTAAAGCTTCCCAGCGCCAAATCGAAGGCTTTGCTAAGGCGCTTATCAGTATGATGAATCGGTGTTGAAGGAAGATTGCGGAAATACGGAACAGAGTGGAAATATTTGGGGAATATTACATAAGCAGATTGGTGAGAGGATTTTGCTATGAAATTCCCTGTGTCGAGACAATAGTGTTAAAAATATGCGAGTAATATATCTAATAAAAAAAATTATATTAACAATTATTATTTATCATAAATTGATTACAATATTATTATATTTATATGTTTTAATACACTATCTAACGTATAAAATAATGTCAATATTGCCAATAATGCCAATATTGTCTTCTTTTTTTTATGATTTTTTATGATTACGTTAATTTATGCTCAAATTTATTCATAAACATTTTATGAAATATTACACATACAGATATAATATTGTTTTCAATAAATTGAAAATTGACTGATGAGATTACGCAATAGCAATTGTATTGCACATAGAATTTGATAATATAAATATTTATTTATCTGATTTATCCGATTGATTGACAGATAACATCAAATAGAATAATTAATAAAAAAATACCATTGAGTAAAAATATAATAGGGATTAATTCAACGAACAATTTCTATTTCACTTACACAAGATAACATAAATATAGTTATAATCTTTGATATGTCATAACAGATTATTATAATGTAATATAATAGTTTAAGAAAAAATTTGAATAATTTTAAAGTTTTTTGTTTAGGAAATAAAATGCAAACAATATTGTGTTTCACTTCTGTGCTATGAAAACTTTTTTAATCTTGGTGACAAGGACTCCATTTGCTAATAGCAGCACATAATTTGTAACCATCATGCTTCACTATACGAGGGATACGTAAACTTTTCAGACTGTATATTGCAACGCATACAAAATTATTTCACACAAAACCAAGCAAATTTGAACAAAAAAGATGTTATATTTCTTTTAACCGTGCCGTAAAAACTTTATTGATCCACAATACAACCAATATATATCTCTACATGATTATACGGAGATACACAAGATGCTAAAAAATTATGTCCGAACATTGTGTCACGGATTCCTCTATCAATTTAATATCAGTTTTTTTTAAAGGTTGTAATAAATTTCTCTTTGCCACATATTTTCTTAATTTTGTACATTAAATATCTTTGTGATTAAATTAAATATTAGAATATATTATTTAATAACATCTGTAAAGATTAATTTACAAGAGATCGTTTTCTTTTTTTTTTTTGTTTCAATCGTTTATTAGAATTCTTCTTTTATGAGGACTTAAATTTTGAACACGATCCTAAAAGTTTTTATGTAAATTTTTAGTGCCTTGTATATCAAAACAATTCAGCAGCTGTAAGTATGTATCTCTCTTTGTTCTCTGAAGATTCTTTTTACTTTTTAAAGAAGAGTCCCGTCTTAAAACAAATCTTTTCTTATTCAAAAGGCGTCACATGGCGAGGCGACTTATTGATGACATGACAGTTATTGCTAACTTTCCCTGGTTTCGCGGTAGAATGCTTTGTATCTAAATAATATTTTAAAGAAACACGCGCACAACTCTTGCATTTATGAAGCTGCCGTCTTGATCGAAGCTGTGAAGCGAAAAGCGAATCCTATTAATTTCGAAATATTTAACATACATAAGTAAATTTTTTTATACCTATTAACAATGATTATTATTTAATCAATATGATATAATAGTAATTACTAATATTTTTTAATAAAAAAATACGCTTTAATTTATATAAAACTTATTGCGTGTTTTGAACTTGTTTATTATCTACTTCAATATTTGAAATATTTATGTCCTATTTTATCTTCTAAACATATGAAAAGACAATAAAAATATTATATGTATCATGTATCTATAAATACAAAAAAGATAGTTACATTTACTATTTTAATAAAGTTTTAATAGAGAGAAAAGTTCAATATCAAATTTTAGTTAATATTTAATAAGCAATAATTTTCATTCATATATTTAAGATTATATGTTTAAAGCCATTATTGTATTGTCATAAAAATAATGGCATATGTATCATATGTTTTGTCGAAATAATTCTTCTGTGCAATCAATACATTTTTATATTTTTATTCGACAAATCCAGAGGAGTATTAGAAAACTTATTTGCCGATATAAATAGACGCTTTGATATGGAGATGAGCAGTGGAAAAATGGGAAAAGAAATAACCGAATCTTGTTTATTAGCTCCGATATTTCCACTTTTACGTTGTAAATATTTGTATTACTTGCGCGTTTTTTATGCAGGTGGCCGTTTTTGCAATTCACGGGTGCGCGAGCGTAACTAGAATATTTCCCGTTCAATATAAATATTAAAACATTCACACACTTCCTCGCGAATTCGAAGCGTGGTTTATTTTTTGAAAAAAATACCGCAAAAATAATTTTTTCATCATATTTTTATACGCCGCCTACGAACAAGCAAATGCTATCAAACAAATAAGCATATCGAGTACTCCTTGTTGCACATCCAAAAATAAAATATGTATATATAGAGTATGAAATATTTATCTACATCGGATTTAAAATCAACTATTGATATAATACTTATTGATATATTTCACACTGCTTTAAATCTTTTATATGTCTTATTTTGTATTTTTATTCTAATTCTACTTTATTTTATATACATTTCTTTTTTTTTAATGTTTTTTAGCAACAAATTTTTTTTGGGCTAAGCATAAAATTATTGGTTGTATTAAATATATACATTGTCACATATTATATCTTAAAAAATAAGATATTATTGATAAATAAAACTTTTATATACTAATAAATAATTGATATTTAATAATTGATAAGCTAATTATAATTAATTATAATTAATTGATAAGCTTCGAACTTGCGTGCCATTTTCTTAAACAGCGATTTCAAGTGATGAAATGAAATTGAAAGATAAATTGATCATCATTTGACTATCAAAGATTCTTTTGAAGAGCCTATTTTAACAATAAGCAATTCCACGAAGCTTACTCTCATTGAATACATAGCAGGAAAAGGTTTCAGGTTTCCGGCATCCAGGAACGTGACCGACATTTTTCTTCGTTCTGGCAAAATGATGACTATGCACGCGTGACGAATCGCCAGCAGCCGGTGCAGCCGAAAAAAGGTGCTGTTAACAGTTTTTTTTCCTAGCGCACCGCACATACGAAATATGCAAAAATGGCAAATAGATGCGAGCAGGACATTGCAGGACTCCTGAATCTTGTTGGCGCTCTTATCATCCTCTGCTTTTATTTATTAACCCATGCGCGAACCGTACCGGATATTTTCGTTCGCATAGAAACCTGCACGAGACATCGTAAAAATTGCAAGAAGTATTTCGTGCATGCAACGGAACACGCAACGATATATTTTATCTCATATTTTATCTCATTTTTGATTTGAAAAATTGTTCAGTTGGATCTATAGATAAAATACACTTTGTTCATTATTTTTATATAATGTATTATCCGCGCAAATCATTGTCAAATGAAAAATTGCGATCCGAAAAAATTTAATTATTTTTTGACGCCGTATTCTCTTGTTTTATTTTTTGCGCTATAGTATTGCAACACGTGTATATATACACACACACACAGTATTTCTGAATTAAAAATTAAACCAGCAACATTTATAATATAGCATTTGAGATAACCGATATAGATACAGATAATCCATAATAAAATCATTTGTAAAATTAAAGAATAGCACATCTATGTTCATATAAAATCTAATTACTGTGCTAGTATAAGAAATTAATTAACATTGTTTTGCCATGAATGATAAACTCAGCATAAAGTAAATCGAAACAATTTTCACAAAAATTTCAATTTCGGGCGAGCACGCCAGAAAACTATTTAGCTCGATTCGATTCAATTAATATCGATTACAAAACAATTCAATGTTATCGAACTGTTGCTGTCAACAATATTTCTGGACATAAAGTTTGCAATATATGGGCACTAAATCAATCGCTGATGGTGAACTCTTCGATAAACAATTTCTTCATTGTTTTCCACATCAATAACAAAGCATGTCATCATGTGAATTTTAAACGACGATAGAATTGCATATTCATGAATAAACAGTTGGGTTCATATTCCTTTTCGGGAAAGGAAAATGATTATATGCATCACTGCACTATCTGCGTCATAGTATTATTTAAGATTGTGTGCGTAATTAATTTTATATAAGAAATATATATAACAGTATGCTGTAAAAACATTTTATTTAAAGTAAATTGGAAAAATAATTATTATTTATGTTAAGTAAACATAAAGCGCTCTCAAAATTAATTTGCGTTGATGGTAAATACTAAAGTTCAAAATTGAAAATTTTATAATTAAAGTCTTTTTATCCTCTCCTTGTAACTAGATGCGCTAGTCTAACATTTATGGAAGATTTCTGTATTCTTCATTTTACAGAAAGAGAGAGAAAAAGAGAAAGAGAGAGAGAGAGAAGTCAAGTGGATTACAACAAGGACTTACCAAGTTTAGCAGATAGACATTTGTCACTGTCCGCATCCGTTTGTTCCTCGCCAGGGTGATGAGCACCAAAGAATTCCCGACGATGGAAAGGAAGAAGATTGTACCGTATAACGGTATAATGAGATTCTCCAGGAGGCTGTCTTGAACCGACGATTGTGAAATGACTGGCGTGGTGACGTTGGCAATTTCGGAAGTGACGGTGGAGAACCGGGGAAGGTCGGTAACGATCGGCGAGCCGTCATCGACCACTAAAACACCAAAATATTCGGTGGAAACCAGGTTATCGGATAGATTGCGTTCTTGAATCGACATTTTCTTGTCGCGCTCGTGTGCTCGTCGATCTTTCGTCATTCCACCC